CCCATATTCCATGATTCCCAAAGGGTATGTGATACAACATTGATTTCTAGCCTGTTGAATGACTGAAAGTAATGGGATCTTTAAACGGCTGAAAGTAGGGGTGAAAATGTAATTTCCATTGCACAGCCCTAGGGGATTTCCTTGAATTAATAGTATTACAAGTTCTGTGTACAATTTTATTGCAAAACTTCTGTACAGAGGCTGAAAGTAGGGGTGAAAATGTAATTTCTATTGCACAACCCTATGTGATTTTGGGATTTTCTTGAATTAATATTATTACAAGTTTTTGTATGCAATTTTATTGTAAAAATTCTGTACATAGGGGTGACAGTTACATGGAAAAGTTATGATTACATTATCTTTTTTTAAAATTATATTAAGTGAAGTAAGATAAGCCCAAAGAAACATAGGTCCCATGGTTTCCCTTATTTGCAATATCTAGTATATGTATGAGTCAAGCAGAAAAGGTCAGATATGGTGATGTTAGGAAAATGAACCCTCAGTTATGTATTCAAAAGTTTTTTTTCTTTCATTCAATTGTTTTATTATTTTTTTATTTTTTATTGTGAAAATACTGTACAGAGGGGTTATAATTAGATGGGCAAGATAATGAGTACATTTCCTAACAAGCATTGTAGCCTCCTCCCTTGTTTCCCCTTCTCATCCCTTCCCAGCCTCCCTCCGCCTGCACACCCAATTCTCCCCCTACACCAAAGTTGTAAAGTTGGATTTCGACATGACAACTTGTAATTCTCATTGTTGCAACGGGACCACCTGTATCCTCATTTAAACGTCTTGTTTTTCCCCTTCCCCTCTACAAATTATACCAACATCAAATACAGTAAAAGCAGGGGTTCTACTGTGGGGGAGGGACACACAAAGCAACAAAGAAATAATCTTATAAATGTGTTAGGAACAAATGCATGAAAGAAAAAAAACATTTGAATACATATCTTAGGGTTCATTTTCCTGATATCACCTTCTCTGACCTTTTCTGCTTGACTCATACATATACTAGATATTGCAAATAAGGGAAACCATGGGACCTATATTTCATTGGGCTTGGCTTACTTCACTTAATATAATTTTTTTCTAAGTCTTTCCATTTCCTAACAAATGGGGCAATGTCATTCTTTCTGATGGAGGCATAGAATT